AGTAGAAGTAGTCTACCCAGCTATTCTCTTAGCCCATGGGAGGCCCGTGAATTTACTTTCGGCTATGACGTGCTATTTGTAGCATGGTTTAAGGGAGTTATGCCTTGAATTCATTCAAGTGAAAGAGACAGGCTCTGGAGAGAAGAAAAGTTTGATAACTCCTAATCCTCGAGTACCCTTGTCGTATACTTATCTGATGGCATGGTATGTATCTCATTGTCCTCATTTGATGAGTGCACCATCTTCTTCGGACGACAGATTCGTTCCCTTCGTTCAGAGATTGGAAGAAGCTACCTGAGAGGGCACGTATGTAGTAAGAGTTCATCAAATCTTATCAAGAGACCTTAACTATCAGATATTCCGCTGCTTCCCAGACTTTGAAGGTGGGGGTTATAGGTAGGTATTTCACGACACAGCTGGCCCGAAAGGTTTCACCCGATTAGACGGGGGAGTCTTTCACTGGTTACTTAACATTAGACCAGGTTATCTCATTCTCAGGCAGAATGAGAAATGTATAATTGAGCCGTACACAGATTCGCTCGACAATTTGGGTATGATCAATTATACATTGGAAATCCACGGGGTCAGCTTGCGATTATTGGTAATATATATGAAGGGGCTTGGGCCTGGTATTATTCCACAGTAAGCTACACTGGCGCTACATTCAGATTACCCCGCAAGATGCTCAATTCTCTTCTCTCAATGACTTTCTGCAATTGGTACCACATAGCTTCTAAGATGCCTGATTATAGGTTGAATTTGTCTGGCTTATGGAAAATTAGAAGAATGTACTCATCTAGAAGAGGATCCCGAGTATATCGTCTGAAAGGAATCAACGAGTTCTTATCTTATGAGGATGAAGCTGAATAAGAAAAAGGGGACCAGGGACCAAAGAATGCTCCAGTAGTGAGTCCTAAAGTTGCCGAAACTCCGAGAACAAGGGCAGCTAGAAAGAGAGCTCTTACTGAGGAGGAAGCAGTTCAGTACGAGAAACGAACTCGTAGGAAACTATTTGTAGACTCTCCTTCTCAAAAATTAAAGGCGGATGCTTTTAAATCCACTGAGGGAGAGGAAAGACAAGAATTTGCTGTGAAAAGTCGTCTCCTTCGCATCGGACTTCACTCCAGGGGTCCTGCACTATCTAGCGAATTTTCTTCTTATCATCATTTGGACCAGGAGGAGGATAAGGATGAGTCATTTGGCTATTAGATGCATCGAATCTTCTCCCTATTATGACCTATTCATTTCAACCTTTTCGCGTCACGATGTTCAATCTGCTCTGTTCCAACCTACAGTGGCGTGGTTGAGGCCACAACGTCTTCGTTCTGAGGGTTAGGGTCTTCCCGCCTGTACAAGTTCTATAGTGGCCGGTTTGGAAAAGCCTAGTAATAAACTCAGTCCATACTGCTCTGCATTATGTGCTCAACCCTATGGGGGCTGCTATTCCTAGCTCCGACCAATCAGGCATGAATGACTAAAGCAGATGCAATTCGTCGAGTTCTTCCGACCTTCGACTACAGACTGAATAAATATAAAAGTGGATTATGCAGACCTCCTTCTCACGACCAACCATTGCTGATGGGGAGGAAATGTATAGTAGGCGATAATCCTCTGTTGATTGGCTACTCCACACCACCGATCTCTTCGACAATGCGTCGGCCTATTGTTCCTCCTTCCCCTATTTGGTAAATATTACCCCCACTGTGGTCTTTCTGCATATTTTCCTTCTTGTGTACTATACTGCCCTTTTTGTGTAAGCGCTCCCCAACTCGTGAGTGCTTGCTGATACGACTTGCTCCCGACCAGCAGCGCCAATACACTACTTCTCCTCACCTGAGCAACACACCGGCACACACTATTAGCACGCTAGAGGAGGGGGGGCTGATTACGGTCCATAATACGAGAACAGCATTCTGCACTTTAGCCAATGACTCCCACCTTATCCTCCTCCTGGTCCACAATGATGAATAAGAATAAAATTCGCTAATATCAGACCTTATTATCTTCACCTTTCCGGTCAATTTCAGATGCCGCTCTTCTAACTACAGGGGTGAACTGCCCACATCGGTCTCGATCTGAAGGCGGTTAGCGTCTCCCGCTACAAGTTCCTATAGGCCTGGCCGATTTGAAAAGCCTACGTAAAAACCAGTCCCCACTGCTTCTGCAGTTATTCGTCAACCCTATGGGGGCTGCTAATTCCTAGCCCGACATATAGCATTAATGACTAAGCAGATTGCATCCCGTAGTTCTCCCGACCTTCCGGGCTACAGATGATGAATAAAAAAGTGATTTCATCTTAGACCTCTTCTCACGACCACAGTGCTGATGGCGAGAAAGTGATAGTGCGATAATCTCGTTGATCTTGGGCTAACTCCA